GGAAAATAATGTGTTTTTTTAACCTTAAACCGCATAAACACATTTCATTACACCAAATACACAAAATAGTGTTCTTTTTAGCAACATCATATGACCCCTTTAATGCATCCTTGCTGAATGAAAGTATTAATTTCTTAATTAATTAGCCTTTAGTAACCTAGTGTGTCACGGTTTCCACAAAAATATTAAACAGCACAACTGTTTTCAACATTGATAATCATAATAAATGTTTTTTGAGCAGCAAATCGGTATATTAGAATGATTTCTGAAGGATCATGTGACACTGAAGACTGGAGTAATGATGCTGAAAATTCAGCTTTGATCACAGAAATAAATTACATTTTAACATATTCAAATAGAAAACAGCTATTTTAAATGGAAATAATATTTCATAATATTACCGTTTATACTGTATTTTTGATCAAACAAAAGCAGCCTTGGTGAGCAGAAGAGACTCCTTTCAAAAACATTTTAAAAAATCTTAATGATTCCAAACTTTTGTCTAGTCTGTGGGATGTTTTTCAGTTTTATTGTGAAAAATGTCATAATGACTGGTTGGCTATAATAAAACATTTTCTAACATGCATTATTCAATCAGTGTTTAGAACTGGAACTCCCATTTTATAATTCTAAAAAAAAGCAACATTTAAATGACAATTTTAAAGGGCAAATTTCCCATTTAGATGCTTAACACTTCTTCATCAGAGCTGCATTAAATGCAGCAGCTATTCAATATTCAGGATTCTCGGCTTCACTCAGGTTGGGCGCTTTACAAAGGCACAAACAAACTGAGGCATTGACTTCTCAGTTTGTCCTAATTAACTTATGTAAATAGACATCGTTATCCAGTGTTTCTAAACAGCAGTCGGGATGTATGCTCGTGCAATTATCTCATTAATACAGTAGACACGGATGGCGAAGCAACAGCCTGTTAAAAGCCTGTGTGCGGTTGCCATGGAAACCAGGCTTAAGTGGCTTATTGGTCGCTCAAGTGAGCTTGAAGCGTCACGCGAAGGTAAATCACTATGTGTGTGTTTATGAGCACGTAAGTGTGTGTGACGGCTGCAAAAGACCCTCAAACTGCAAAAATCATCACATTAATTATTATTTAAATTTGCCAGAGTTCAATTATAGATGGCAAAAGTGTGTTTGTACGCAGATCTGCTAGAATGGCATTGTAAATAGATATTGTGTACACAAGATTTACCACACCAAACGTTTAAGTCCATTATGCTTCATTATTATGTCATATTTAAATATAAATGTTTATATTGTGAATAGATTCTCAGCTTAAGGGCTGAAATGACAGTACTTAAAAATCATTTTCATATATTTATGCTATTATTATTTAATATTTTGATTAATATTAAGGACTGTAATTTCATTTTAGGTTATTTTAGGACATATTCACAAATCATCCATTGATGCTTTAGAAATATACAGTGGATCTACTGACACATTCCATATTGTTAAGGGTTGTAATTTTTATTTTTGGTTAATATTGATCCTTGATGTTACAAAATTAGATACGGTCGGGTCAAATTATTCCAAAATGACACCAGTGATGTTTAGAATCATAATTAAGCCCAATGCTGAATGAAACAGGCATAATCGATGTAAATGAGCTGAATAATGAACTTGCCCTTTGGACTGAGAGCAGCTAATATTTAAACCAAGATCACTTTTCCTCATTTATTGATTTATGTTTAGTAATGAAACTTATTACATCAGGGTCAGTGATTTGTAGGGGTGGAGTTTCCCAGGGGATCTTTTCAGTTAATTCAGGATATTTTTGTCAGAATTACACTGTTAGTCGCAGTGTTATTTTTAGAGTGATTTATATACAGTACTATTGTAGTTTTATAAATATTTGAATACATATACTAATAGTTTTCATTTTAGTTAACATTTTTGTAATTTTGTTATGTGCTTTTTTTCTTTTCTTTTTTTTTCTTTTTTCTTTTTAGGTTTAATTTGCTTTTATTCCAGTTTTAGCTTTTATTTATTTCCAGTTAATTTTAGTTCTTAAAATTTAGGCAACATTTCTCATTTTCTTTTAGATGTCATGTAATATTTATGTTTTGTTTTATTTTATTTCAGCTTTATTTAATAAAAAAAATAATTAATAGTTTTAGTTAATGATAAATAACCCTGGTTAGTCAAGATGGAAAAGCTCAAATTGGTTTCCTGTGCAAAAAAAAATAATCATACATCCATAGGTTCTGGTTAGTTTCAGTTACTTCAGTTATTGATACGTAATCTAATTTAATGAACAGTTAATTAACAGTGATCAATTAGTAAAATAACAGCATACCTTTTCTGAACAAGCCACATGATTTGAATCGTTCAATCGTTCATCTCTGTTTTCCACAAATTTCCAAAGAGTGTCAGGGTTTGGTTCAAATCACTGACCGTAAGCAATGATATTGAGACTCACTCCGACTGGATGATTGAATCAGAGTCATTTGATTTTGCTACAATTGGATTAGTCCAATTCACAAATGAATCATGTTTTTTGAAAAGAATTGGTTCAATGAATGATTCGCTTATGAATCAAACATCGCTATGGTGTCTTTCTTTATATCAAAACAACGAGGAACAACATGTTTTTCTGAAAATGTTGTGGGATAAAAACTCATGCTAACACTTTAGTTTAGAGACCGTTTCTCATTATTAACTTATTAGCATGCATATTACTAGCACAGTGGCTGGCTGTTTATTAGTACTAGCCTTATTCTGCATGACCATATTTTAGATATATTCCTACCCCATACCACAGTTAACAACTACCTTACTATACAATGCAAGTCATTGGGGACCAGCAACTGTTTAGTTACCCACATTCTTCAAAATATCTTCTTTTATGTTCAACAGAAGAAAGAAACTACCGATTTGGACTTGAGGGTGAGTAAATGATGACAGAACTTTCATTTTTGTGTGAACTATCCATTTTAATGCATGACCAAATGAGATTCAAATACAGGCAACACCTCTGCATTTACCTTCATACGTATGTGTGTGTGTGTGTGTGTGTGGTCAAGCAGATGCAGCTGTTGTGTGTGTGTCAGTAATTAGGTAATTAGTGCGCTTCTGAGTGGGGTCTGAGCCCCTCCAGACAATCTGCCTGTCAGCCTGCATTCAACTCTTTCAAAAACCTCTCTGTTGCCCCCCTCAGACGTGCTGCTTAAGAGCTCCCTAATTTAATCACGGGCCTCATCAGTCCCCAGGAATGAATCAAACGTCTGTAAGCCCAACATGTCCACCGCTGTTTGACTGATTAATTCATATGACGCCAAACGGAATGTTCTGGCTTGTTTGTCATATTACGGCGGCCCAGAGCTCTGCCTCCCTCCGTTAATCGAACACTTTCTGGGCCTCCAGTTGGTTCCACCCGACACCCTGTGAGCGCGTGACTTCAAAAGCCTCTTTTCATGATGCTGGCAGCGTGAGCTTCTAATTATGACTGTAATAAAAGGTAACTGTGCTCTGGCTGGAAGCCGCTGCCAACTAGCCAAATCTGGCAACGGATGTCTCTCTCTCTCTCTCTCTCACTCTTTCTCCAGCTTACTGCATCAGTGCCCCTCCTTGGCCAAGCGGCACACAATGGGAAGATAATTGGGAGAAAGGGAAATCCGCCTTGTGTATATTTATAATTGTAGGAATGTTCTGGCTTGTTTGTCATATTACGGCGGCCCAGAGCTCTGCCTCCCTCCGTTAATCGAACACTTTCTGGGCCTCCAGTTGGTTCCACCCGACACCCTGTGAGCGCGTGACTTCAAAAGCCTCTTTTCATGATGCTGGCAGCGTGAGCTTCTAATTATGACTGTAATAAAAGGTAACTGTGCTCGGTCTGGAAGCCTCTGCCAACTAGCCAAATCTGGCAACGGATGTCTCTCTCTCTCTCTCTCTCTCTCTCTCTCACTCTCACTCTTTCTCCAGCTTACTGCATCAGTGCCCCTCCTTGGCCAAGCGGCACACAATGGGAAGATAATTAGGAGAAAGGGAAATCCGCCTTGTGTATATTTATAATTGTAAGATCATATAACTCATGACTTCTACAATAGCTGGCACGAGGGGGCTCCCAAAGGCCCCTAAAACCTATTAGTCACTCTAACAGCGGCAGAGATGTCCTGTGATCTATAATTGTGTAAGAGTCCTTTAGGGAAGGGCTGGAGTACAGGCGAAATTGGCACAACAAACATCACATGCTAATAACCTCAAACTTGGCTTGATGTTCCTCAACACTTCCTTGCAGGTGTTTTAAACACCTTCTGGTCTGATTGCTTAGAAAGTTAACAGCACATCTCTCCTCAATAAAATGCATGAATTGCGGTATAATTATTATTTAGGCAACTGCTTAGGTTTTGTGGGAAAATAAAAACACACACACAACCACAAATTATTCTCACTGCAGAATATTTGCAAGAATAAGAAAATTCAATTGGAATTAGATGATTTATTTTTGATATTTTTTTCTTCAGCAACACACAAAAGACCTTCAGGATAATATTCACATTAAAATGCTACATATGTTGAATAACTAGTGCTAGGTAGATTACAAATTGTAGTCCATTATTAATTAGAAATTACACAATGGAAGTTATAGTTTGTAATGTAATCTATTGGATTACACATATTAGGTAATGTATACTGACTATACGTTTTGATTACTTTTACATTACTTTAGACCTAAAATATATGCCATTCTTTGTTGTCAACATCATGAAGTGTATTAAACATTACATTACCCCTGCAGGGTTTCCCAAACGGGTTCATGAATGAACTGCAGGGGGTTTGTGAGTTGATGAAAAGCTGGAAGACTTTATAAATGTATAAAAGCAGTACAATTTTAGATAGGAAAATTTAAGAGAGAAAAAAGAATCAAATTATGAATAATTTACTGTCATTGCGTGAATAATATGTAATCATGTAATCTTAAAAATGTTACTGTAATCTAATTGTGAGTATTTTAAAATGTAATGTAATCTAATTAGAAGTACTTAATTTTTGGAATTTGATTACGTAATCCAGATTACATGTAATACGTTACTACCCAGCACTGACTGTTATGATAATACTTTATCGTGCTTTGTTGTTCTTTTAGGAGCTTGCATCATCGTATGCATCTGTGTTATGGAAAAGACCAACAAAAACTTCTCTTTTGTGTTCAATGGAAGAAATGTAGTTTGGAACAACATGTGGGGGAGTAAATGATGCCCACATTTTTATTTGTTGGTGAACTATCCGTTTAAGTTCATCCAATTCGGCACTGTCCTCTCTTACAAAGAGCATGTGCAGAGGAGGCTTGGCATGTGCTTGTTAACTGTATTTTCTTCTCTTCAGCCACGCAAGCTAAAGGTAATCTGGACACTTTGTTCTCAAACAAAGCAGATAGGAAGTCGACCACTCGCAATCGGGTCAGAGCAACAATCCCCTCTCCTCCACAAATAAAGCCGGAGAGCTTAAACCTGTTACTGTCAGCTTCTCACCTGGATCACAATCTCTCCGGCACTCCGCGTGCAAACCAATCGCCTTTATGTTCTTTTTTTCCCACCACTTACTGAGAGCTCCCAGGTAAAGAGGATGGCAAATGTAGACTATAGAGTTACCGACAGCTAAGCCGGGTTGATGATCAGCACAATAGCGGCAGGTAATAATGGCACCAGTGTCCTCTGCCTTTTCCCCGGGCTTCATTTCCGAACAGCGGCTGCCATTTCACAGCTGTTAAGTGCTGCCTCTCTCTTTGTTGTGATTAGGGGTAAATTAATAGATGCCTCCCGGTAATCAGCTTCCATTAGGGCTGTCACATCCTCGCTGTCAGGACGCCGGCTGCAGTGGACAGGGAATGCTCACCCTGTCAACGGGAAGCACATTAGCGGCGTCTTTAGTGCTATAAAGGGGAAAGGCGGCAGTCAGTGTTGCAGCACGATGCCAGTCATCGTGGGAAATGCATATAAAGTGGTCTTTAATTCACCACATAGTGTTTAAAATGAGCTGTGAAATGTACAGTTGGTCGAATAATTGATTTTTCCTCTCAATGCAGAACCCAGCACCGGGCCGTTTAGCCATTTTGCAAGGGCAGAACGGCACGGGATGACTGGTGAGGACGATCACAGAGATGATCTAACCTGAAACCTCTGAGGTGACTGACTGCCAATAAACACACAAACACCTCACCTTACTCACTTTTCACATCATGCCGTTTTCGCTATAGAAGGAGTTCAGTCGATGCAAGCAATTGATAAACAAATTATTTTTAAGGCAAGACACTATAGGATAAAACAGAGGTCACCATACTTTCCCAGCTGATTAATTGCAGTACATTACATTTTAACATCATGTTTTCTGAACTGTCATGTTTAAATATGCAAAGGATTAGGAGTATTATCTAATTAAATATGCACTCATTTGCATACATTTCCAGAGCAGATATCTGAACACCGGATGAAGCCAGGATCAAAATTCTTGTGTCATTTTGTTAACAAAGGTTTTTACAGAGGGGACTTTTTATCACTCCATAAATCAGAAAACAAAACTGTCACCAGACAGTAAAATTAAATACATTTTCAACTGGTTTTGGGGAATAAAATGTAATTTAAATCAGGCATTTGATATGAAAAAACAAATAACTACAGAATATATGGTATATAGGATTGAAACTGTAAAGGTTGGTGTAAGTGCTGCTGAAGTACAGGAGAAAATAAAACTCATTTTGAGAAAATGACCTTTAAAAATATGAATTGTAATTCAAATCTAGAGAGGATAAAGTGTAATATACAATAAACACTTAAAAGTGTGCTTTGAATGTATAATCCAAAATCTCAACATCTGAGTGCATGAAAAAAACAAACAAAAGTTTTTCCTGTAGTGTTTCACCTTAACTTAAAACAATTTAACAAACTAGATTTTTACATTTTCTTAAGAAAATGTTAGTGGTGGTGATTGACCATGCAAAACTCATCATAATAATGCAATGCATTTGCTAGGGTGTAAATATATGTAAATATAGTTGTTTTAATACATTTTAAATTGTTATTTTGTAAATAAATTAATAAATCAAATCAAATGTACTTATGCCTCCCCTAATCTTGTTTGCATAAGAAGTTGTTATGTGACAACTCTGCATTTTGGCATGAATGTATTGATCATTGTTATTGAATGTTAGTTAATTCATTAACTAAAGTTAACTAATGGGATCATACTGTAAATAGAAGTGAAATTAGGTGATTTGTTTTTTTTAGGATGATATTTTAACAATCAAAAACACTGAAAAGTTCTTTTAATTTCTATTTACATTAAAACACTAAATACTAAACATCAGAAGCGAATTCACAACAAGATATAGCGTATATGGTATAAACAAAAGACATTAGCCTTGTTCAGAGAATTTGACCACATGCACTTGCTGAAAACACAGGAAAAGAGTCAATCAATCAATCAATCAGTAGGAAGTTTAAACCTGTAGAGATGCTGTAGTGTGGGTTGGCCGGCATAATCTAATTTGTGTGGCCGGAAAAGCCCCCCCCAAAAAAAAAAAATGATACAGTTGTTCACAATTGGCAAAATACACATGAAACGAGCCATTTCTGGGAAAAGTGCGGCAGACGTCGCAGATAATTGTGAAGAAAATCTGTTTCTTTTCCAATTCTGAAAGCAATGGAGCCGCATTAACAATTTGAAATGTTGTTGGTATTCTGGGAAAATCATTATTGACTGTATCTTGAGATTTACACTTAGGATTTTGAGATGAAACAAATAATTTACGCATATGAGCAACAAACGTGTTTACTTTCTGCACTGTTTGGGTTCACTACTTCTTTTCTGAATAATGCAGCACACCTCTGAGAAGCATATAATGAACTGCATTAAATCATGCGTCAATGTTTATGGAAATACAGACGACGTTATTCAAAAAAATAAAAAATAGGGGGCTGACACAGTGCATCTGTTTGCATTATGGGTAATTACAGAAGGATTGGATGTTCTGCTGAGGCCGAGCTTTAGCAGGTATGCCGATATAAGGGATTGACTTTGCCGTTCCTCATTATGGCCACATATGGGAAACCCAGCTGGGATCTGAATTGGTGAGAGGGAGAGAGAGAATCGATTTCATTTGCAGGATTATTGAAGCCACTGAGATGCGGCGTGTATGAAACATAAAGTCTCATTTTCGAGTCCTCCGCAGAGGCAGGAGAATGAAAACATATGGCTGTTAGCGAGTTATTTTCATGCCGTGGAACAATAAGGAAATTGTGACGTTTACTAACTTCGGGAGAAGTGGCTGACTTGTCTGCCTTGGATGGTAATTGTGTTCTATCAAGAGGCAACTAGTTTATCTGAGCTGCAAAACACGCTTGAGATGAGAATGTGTTATAGATGCCGTCTCAAAGTAAAGGGAAGATAAATATTTGTTTTGAAAGGAAAGGGAGAGACTTCAGACTCTGAGTCCGTTATTTAAACTTTCTCATACGCTCTGGAGGGAGCAGTCAGTGCTATTTTGAGGGTTTTTTTGAAAGAAATTACTCAAGGATGCATTAAATTGATCAAAAGTGACAGTAAAGACATTTAAAATGTTATGCAAGATTTCAGTTTCAAGTAAATGCTGTTCTATGGTGAAACTTTCTATTCATCAAAGAATCAGGAAAACAAATGTATCACAGTTTCTAAAAAATATGAAGCAGCACAACTGTTTTCAATAATAATAATCAGAAATGTTTCTTGAGCGCAACAAATCAGTATATGATTTCTGAAGGATCATGTGACTGAAGACTGGAGTAATGATGCTAAAAATTCAGCTTTGCATTACAGGAATAAATTACATTTTACTTTATAATCACAGAAAACCGTTATTTTAAATTGTAGTGATGTTTCACAATATTACAATTTTTACTGTATTTTTGAGAGACAAAAAAAACAAACAAAAAAAAAAAATATATATATATAGTGTATATAATACATTTTATATTAATATAAATTGAAACAAAAAATTACCAATTATTTGTTTATTCACGTCACATCTCAGGATAGTTTATAGTGATAATTTTTTGATAGTGAGTAATTTTTGCTATTTATTTGTTACATATGGTACATTTTATTAGTCAGAGTAAACCCTGAATAATAAATACTTTTGAATAGATGTGAATGGAGAAACTGGCTTTTTAGGTCCAGATGTTGTAGTTCCAGCATCCGCCAACAGGTGCCAACTGATGAGACTAACCAGCCAAACCTGGACCGGTTAGTCACAACTATACTAAAGAAACAGGAACTGATTATATCAATCTGAAATTTATTGTAGACCTTATGTTTCGAATCTGTAAAATTACATTGATATGAGAAGTAGAGAGAACTAGCATTTTCCCATGATGCTTTCAATCTAACAGCTGGATCTTCATCTGTGCATCCAATGCCAGCATGTTGTGTTTTCCCACAACCCTCCGTTTCTGCCATAAAAGCCTGACCCAAAGCTGTCAGAGGGTTCTGGTGTAGGTTTATGTCACACACAGACCCAGCTGGGGCAGGAAATGATGTCATAGAGGGGCAGCTTCAGCATTAGTGAATGTGATAAGAATGGCACGGTGATGTAAGAAGTGGGCGGCCACACAGATCTTTCTGGAACACCGCCCATTCCCAATGAGCTCCTGTGGCCGAATCACAGGCATGGTATTGCACATTCTGTGTGTGTGTGTGTGTGTGTGTGTGTGTGAGTGTGTGTGTGAGTGTGTGAGTGTGTGTGTGTGTGTGTGGTCAGCTCATTGTGTGTATAGAGACAGAGTCTGCATGTTTTTGTTATTAATACAGATTTTTTTAATTAAATTAAATCTTTTATTCAGCAAGCACACATTAAATTGATCAAAAGTGGCAAGTATGAAAGCCCATTTCTGCCGTTTAATAAAAGTGGCAATTATATATTTTTTCCTTTTATCTCACAATTTGGACCTTTTTCTCACGATTATGAGGAAAAAAGTCAGAATTGTGAGATGAAAACTCAGAATTCTTCTTTTTTTTTCGTGCATTTCATATTTTATTTTATTTTTGCAGAATTCTGAGTTTACGTCTCGCAATTGTGTTTGTGTTTGTGTTTGTGTTTGTGTGTGTGTGTGTGT